ATCGCACCAGGTTTAGTGATTACAATAGTTAAAAGCACAAGATTTTTCAATTTCAACTGAGAAGGGTACCTACAAGTATCAGTATCATCTTATGAAATTTATATGATCTTATTTTTATATTAATCTCAGTTATGACATTCTTCCATAAATGAAATGGAAATAAAATGAATGGAAATACAAATAACACAGTAAAATGTAATAAATGTACATAAAATTATAGTATTTTATGTACACTTCTGATAAAATTTCATAAGAAAGGCATCTATAAATTAATTAGATACCTTTCTTGTGAAATATGAAATTTAATTTTACTTTTAAAAGTCTTATTCTAATTTCTTTATAATATATTTTCCATAAAGCATCGTAAACGTAAAGGTGAAAGCTAAGTACAAAAAAAAAAAAAAAAAAAAAGAAAAAAATTAGAGCGCTGAAAGTTTGCCTTAAAAATAACGAGGTAAATAATTTGTTCACTTAAATCTAAATAACTTCACTTTTCGGCCTCCGTAAAACAAATTATGATCACGTAAATCCGTCAATACGTCATTCATCATCTGTCAAGTGACGCGAAAGGTTATGACCTGCTTTGTTTTATTTTCAAATTACATCTCTTCGACGCAGAAGCTAAGTCAACCTTGGTTCAAAATATTCTAAATAAACATTATAATTTCTGATTTTCTTAAAATAAGTCTTGAAAAAATGATAATTAATTTTTAAAAGAATTTCAAAATGAGATTTTCATCTTTTTTATAAAAAGATAAAAAAAATGGATGTCATAATCGATAATCCGTCAATTTTGCTGTCTCAAAAAAGATTTTTAACGAAAATTTCGGACTTGCTTGGAACGATTAAAAAATGTAAAAAAAAAAATACCCCCAAAATACTTTGATCTTTCCTCTTAATAATAACATAAACATTTAGACGATAAAATTTTGTTTTCGTCAAATTTGACGTCTTTTTCATCATGCTATGCTCTTTTTAGTGATCTCATGGAGGTACCTATATATATATATATATATATATATATATATATATATATATATATATATATATATATATATAGCGTAACCCGGATATATATTGTCGGGACCTGAGGAGAAGTCCCTTATATCCGGGTTTGGTCTATTTTATATACATTAACACAGGCTCTAATTTGGGACCAGAGAAAATCTCTCTTATATCCGGGTTTCTCTTATATCCGGGTCTCTTTATATATATATATATATATATATATATATATATATATATATACAGGATTAATACAAATGTAAAATTTGTGATTTAGCCGAGTGATGTTATATTCAGAACGTCTATTCCAGAGTTTCGTAGACGAAATTTTTGTGTAATTGTTCGGTGCACTCGTAGGAGGTATCAACGAATGCCTATCGATTTTATCGTTTTCCTTATTTTTACATTAAGTTAAAAAATAATTTATCGGTTTTTTGTTGGGGTTAAGTTGATTTTTCTTTGTGTGTGTGTGGCTGTGCGCACGCGCGTTTGTGTATGTACGCACCTATGTGCGTGTGTGCGCGTGTGTACGTCTGTGTATATGCACGGGTATAGGATGTCGTGGTTATTCTTTTCATAATTCCCTTGTCTTCTTATACTCTCTCATTATTCCATTTCTTTGTTTTCTTTATTTTTTCAGCCATGAGTGTCAAAAGATGATGTAGCAATGTTATATCCGGTGTCTGAGACGACATATTTTTACGTTAAATTTAGGGAATATTCTGTTTTTCAAAATATATAGATGCATTCCGTTATTTTATTCCTTGTTTTAAATATCTAATTGTATATTTATTGATTGTTTAAATAATTAAAAAAAAATTAATGCTTGAATGCTGATTGAAATTGATCACTCTGGCTTATGTCAGAGGCTATTCCCCAGACGAGGCTCTGCCGAGGGGCGGAGTCTCGTCTCGGGAAACTGACTACGCTTTTACGTGGTCTATAGGGAATTTTTGCCCGAGCCTACGGGGCTCGGATACCCCACTTTTAAACACGGCCTTGTGCTACATGGGCAACGGTAAATAATTATACCTACATACATATATATATATATATATATATATATATATATATATATATATATATATATAATGATTTATTTAAAATTATAATATAAATATGTTATAAAATCACTACAAAAATAGCCATTTGTTTTCAACACCATGATGTTGAATGTTTTATCAAGTGATGATGTTGAATGTCATTCATCATCATTCAACATCATCACTTGATAAGACACCGGAGGTGTTGAAACAAAATAGCTCTCTTTGTAGTGATTTTATAACATATTCATGTTATAATTTTTAAATAAATAATTATATCTGCTCTATTCTGTATTGAGCACTCTTTTAAGAATAGTAATTGTTGGTTATTGAAATTTATTCCGTATACAATCAATCATATATATTGATATATATATATATATATATATATATATATATATATATATATATATATATAACCAAAGGAGTAAATATAGGTAGATGTACGAACGAGCGATCGTATACAAAACAATAAAACTCAGAGTTGTGCAATGAATGTAACGTATTATGTATATTTCTTAATATATATATATATATATATATATATATATATATATATATATATATATATATATTAAAATTAAACTTTATTACATTTTACTTTTGTACAGATAAATTCTGAGAAATTTCAACATATATTGATAATTAAAGTCTCCGTATACTTATTATAATTATAACGCTCTGTAATCTACATTGAGCTCTCACTGGATTTATATCCTCTTCAGAATTATCCCTTCCAGTCACAAATTGGTAAAACGTATAATTTATTTTATTTTATTATCTAGGCGATTTAATTTATATTCTTTTTCTTTTCATCACTTTTGTTATTTGAGTTTGGGATATCTAATAGTGATGGAAAGCAAAATAAAAGGAATCTAAATGTTTTCCGGTTAGCTAAATAAGAAATATATATATATATATATATATATATATATATATATATATATATATATATATATGTAATATCGAATATTGATCTATAAATTACATATTAATAATAAATAATATATTTTTCCTCACCGGTAGTACAACTCATATGAGTAATTACTATGAAAGTATTAATAGAAAAGGCACAGGAAAGGTATACTGCGTTGGAAAAGTAACTGAAGTTGAGATTACAGGTCAGGGCCTATAATATTGCAGATTCTTCTTCGGAATTTATCAAAGATTTTTAAATATATAAGCAGGAGAAATAGTCCTAATGTTACAGCAATATTCAAAATAAGGACGAATGGTAGACTTATAAATATGTTAGATAGATTCTGACGAGAAAAAATAGTCTAGCACGACACAGTGAACAAATTTTTCTATTTGCGGATCTAGCAATTGGTTCACTATAATCTTTCTACATCATTTCAGCAGAAAGTTCGAGAAGGTGCAATGAGTCACATCCCTGGGGGTTAGCATCAGCCATGTTGATGGAAGCTAAAATGGATTCTCCTTGACGATTAAAAGAGAGCAGTTTCGTTTTGGAGGTGTTAATATTAACAAGCGATTCCTTGCCAAATTTTATTTTAGATCAGCTGCCAATTTAAAAATAAAGAATAAAGGTGCTATTGAATATTGAAACACTTCCTGACTTTTGCTCCACCCTGTACTTATATGCATAATGTTGGTGTTTGTTAAAGGTTGCTGGAATTTACTTTGCAGGCTTACGTATCTTAAAACACAGCGGACATCGTAGGCTAAAGAAAACTAAGGATATCCCCAATTCTACAGATATTTAACAAAGGTTCATTTTTTACATTTTGAAACTTATATGCTATGTTATCGTAATAACTCAACTAGACTGTATATTCTAGTGAATCAAAGGTGAACCACACGCGAAAAGTAAATAAAATGTAAAGAGGAATGAAAGAAAGAATCGGTCTTGCCTTTTACACCCAGCGACATGGATACAAAAAAACATGGCTTCAGTCCCTGACCGGCAAAACAACGCCGTTCTCTGACAACCCAGTTAACTCTAAGTGAACCATACACAGAAAGTAGTGAAGGTTAAGGACGAATATATTTGTTGTATATAACACTAACGTTGCTATAAATTAATTGCTTATCCTACATGCACCAACATATGCTTAGATAGATAGGTAGGTAGATAGATAGATAGATAGATAGATAGATAGATAGATAAAGATTACACACATACACACAGACATACATATATACACACACACACACATATATATATGTTAAATATAGATTATTTTGAAATGTTATATGGGGAATCTAAAATTTTTATTTGCTTAATTAACTGTTTTGTTTTATGTAAGAAAGAATTCTACAAGAATTCTACTTTATAAATCATTAAAAGCCAAAACATCGAAAGAAACCTAATACAAAACAAAAGAAATGAGCTATTCCTGTGTTGTGGATACACAGACAATATTCGCTAACTGGTGTCGTATAATGCCTTGTATTACCATAAAGACGCTATATGCTTTTAGCAAATAGAGGGGAACATACTGTGTGACCGATAAATATACAAAAGCATAATGTTTTATATTATAGAAGCGATTATCTACCTTGAATATCAAAAAACAAAAACGATGTCTGTCTGGAGTTTATTTGCAAAACTTAATGTCGGATAGTAGATTTTTTCATTTGTAATAAAAATAAATAAAAAATACTAATCCTTTTTTTTATCAAAAAAACCTGACCTTGAAAATCCCAGCCTCCATTGCTTCTGTCGAGATAAGCAACTCTCTATCCGGAATGTTTATGAAAACACGTAGAAAGGAAAGGCAGAAATGAGAAACTACATCAACAACAGAAATCTTTGATTTTTTTTTTAGCTTCAACGTAAAATATATATTCAGACCTAGACATACAATATCTTAGTCTTCACCCTAGTCCCTGACCTGCTCTATCGTCTAACTACATTTCCCACGGACCCCTCAGCCTTAGGTAAATATTACAAAATCAATTGGTTTCTTAATGCATTGATTCTGTTAGTCTAATTTATACATTCTCTCTCTCTCACACTCTTTCTTTCTTTCTTTCTTTCTTTCTTTCTTTCTTTCTTTCTTTCTTTCTTTCTCACTCTCCCAAGATTTGATTTTTAATGGCATGTCTCTTCGGGACGAAACGCATCATACGTAAAAATTTCTATTTTGTTACAGTTTTTCCTTAAAATTGGTCTTGATATATAAAAATGTATGTATCCTTACACACACACACACACACATATATATATATATATATAATGAACATAGAAGTCAACACTTAGAGGTGACAGTCTGTTTCATGCTATATGCAATCGTCAGGCCACGTGTGCTGTTATTTTTCTTGGCTATTTATACATATACGGGTCATTAGTGCATTGTGGGTAGTCTATTATGGCGGTTATTTTACCGGAAGTCGTTTATTTATTTATTTGGGTTAAATTATTTTGCTTGTTTTATATTTATTTATTTATTTTATTATTTATATTTACACACGCTCTATCTCTGATAGTGAGCACTTTATCCCATAAATATAGCACACCTTAAGACTATATTTCTTCATATATATATATATATATATATATATATCGTTATATATTTTGAATAAAATTTAAATAAAAACAGACCACTTTAAGGTTCCATGTAATAAATTATTTCACCACAGCCCTTTTAAAAGGACTGCGGATCATCAGACTTTACATCCAAACTAAAAATGAAAAGAAAATTTACACATTTTTGACGGGCCGTATTAAACATATGTAAATTAACGATTTACATATGTTTAATACGTCCCGTTTTCTTCGTTATACCCTACCCAACCTTAGCAAAACCTCTCAAAAGATGATGAATCTATAGATAAGAATTAACTCTCTGACCACTTAACGAAGAAAACTAGCATAGCAACCCCCACAAAAACGAATGTTATGACGGACCATGCCTAAAAACACACGTAAACCAAAAGATAGCTTATTCATAAAATTTCGCTTGAAGATGAGACGTGACTAAACACCACAATTCAACTTAATTTTAATAATTATTTGGATGATTTCGGCTCTCAGCAGTGCGCATCCAATACTGAGAATTGAAGCCCGGTCAATCAATTTTCTACGCGCACCAAGAAATTAATTCGAGGACTTAAAGGAATAAAACTAAAATGGACATAATACGGCTAAATAATTTAACCAAACAAGCTTGAATAAAAATATGCTACCTATATATATATTATATATATATATATATATATATATATATATATATATATATATATATATATATATATATATATAGTTTTATAGGTATGCAGTATTTATAGGTAAAAAGGCTCAATATTAGAGATGGATCATATGTAGACACAACTAAGCTCAACCCCAAGCGCTGACAATCTGTTTTATGCTTCAACGCAATCTTCAGGCCATGTGTGTTATATTTTGTCTCTACTAATCATCGTCTCTCATTCGTGCGCATGCGTAGTAACGTCAACGTAAATATAAGTTTAAACCAATGAAGTCCTAAAGGACGAAACTTTTTTCACTTTTTCATACAACTATTCTTGATATATAAAATGCATATATCGTTATTCCATATATATATATATATATATATATATATATATATATATATATATATATATATATATATATATATATATATAGATAGATAGATAGATAAATACTACAGTTTTAAAGTTCGAGATTATCCCTGGCAACTTTTTTAAATTGACCCAGAAAGTAGTTGTTTTGTACTTTTTATAAGAGAAAATTCTTATAAATAATTAAAGAAAGTGAGGCATGATTTTATTAAACATTTTATTATGACAAAAAGAAAAACAGAATTGTATGATTAAATTTTTCTCTCGTCAAAATATCCTCTTTAGCCTTAATTACTGCAGCACAGGATTAGTATTTTTTATTTATTTATTTATTTTTTATACAAATGAAAAAATCTACTATCCGACATAAAGTTTTGCAAATAAACTCCAGACAGATATCGTTTTTGTTTTTTGATATTCAAGGTAGATAATCGCTTCTATATTATAAAAAGGAAGACATTTGAAATATGTAAAAAACAGATGAAAGATGAAATAAACACTTTATTCAAATTACATATAAACTAAATTTTTATTTCACTCTTTGACTGGATGCCCTCACGTTATGGATGCCCGAGGATTCTACATTCTATTGTCTGCAAGTTATACACCATGTTCGCCGGAAATTACCCCAAAAGCGGAACTTCTGGCGCAGGATGCTCTTTCAAATGAAAGAGAAAAAGAATTGTGGATAAAGACGTTTTGAACAGAGGGTCTTTTTTTTTTTTTAAATTCCTACTAGAATTAAGATTTTCCATATATCAGAACCTACAATTACATTCTTTGTGTCAACCAGGAACCCTTTGTCTGGAAATAGTGTATTGAGTCGATAAGTTTTCTGGAAGGGTGAAAAATAGTAACTCTTTTCATGTGTGTGTATTTGCGCGCATGCTTGTGTGTGTGTGTGTGTGTGTGTGTGTGTGTGTGTGTGAGAGAGAGAGAGAGAGAGGGACGGGGAGACGGGTGGGGAGGAGAGCATTGAAATCTCGCTTTCCTGTTGGATTTACTTCTCACTTTCCGTAATAACTTTTCGGGAGTGGCCCTCTAATGCGCAAATACAAATTTCTATCTATCGCACGACAATTTTAAATCCGTCTTCTCCAGACGCCATCATCAGCTATACACAACGAAAGTTGGTCCCAAGCTATATCGAGAAATATTCCAGATATACTTCTTCTATGTGGCGCGTCCCTTCAGGACATAGGCGATCAAGGCTCTCTACAACTTCTTATCTTTTGTGGCTTTTAGCAGTTTTCTCCCTATCCTAAGCCCCCCCCCCCATTGTTCTGCGATCCATTCACACAAGCTCGTCCGGTAAATGGCTCGCTGCCTTCCCCTATCCCTCTTACTCACAATATGTCCCGTGAGTGTTAATTTTTCCAAACCTTCTTTCCTCATTATGTGTCGACAGAATTTCAGATCTCTCTTCTTGACTTTGAGCATAAGTGTTCTTTTCTGTTGTCATTTTTCTTTAAGACTTCCATGTTGCTTGCTCGCCCCGTCCATGGAATTTTCGGTATCCTTCTGTAAAATCACATTTCTGTTGCCTCCAGTTTTCTCTTCATCCGCAGGGAGAGATTGTCCAGCATTCAGTGCCATATAATATGATGGATATCACATAGCAATCCAGCACCCTTTTCTTTGTTTCTAACGAGTTTTTCCCGTTTCTTAGTGTCATGCTTAGCTTCTGGAATACCTCTTTCGTTAGTCGAATACGTGTTTGGATCTCGGTTTCTCGTACTAAAAGACAGTTTCAACACTTTATAAATTGTAACAGTAGTACAGGCTTTTGCAGCTACCGTTTATGAGCATTAGCTCTTGTGAGAGAGCATACTTTCTCACAAGTAAACTCATTTGAAGGAAATGGTGAAAACAATGTGTTAGGTTGAGTATTTTTTCATGGTATGATATTATCCGGAATTTTGTGTAGCAGTTTATTGAATTAATAAATATTTGTCATTAAAATGAATTTTCTCCAAAAATTGAAATGGTATTTTTACTTCCGAATAAAAAGTAAAAATTTGTTCTACTTTTCATTACTTTATGCGATGTCAGTCCAATTTCGGCGGTGAGTGTTCTTTGCTAATTTTCCTAGAATTACCAGCTAACCGAGAAAAAATTAGCCTAATTATGACTGTTTAGCGAGATGATAAGAACTTCTAGACACCCCTGTATTTAATTGCATGAATCTTCTGTCAGTGAATAACTTAGATATTTAATTAAGTACTTGACTCCTCCCGTTATCCTCTACCTTTACAAGAGCTAGCTCAGTCCCAAAATGAAGTACAGTTGCCATATGCGGACAGGAGCTGCCTAGTCTTCACTTTACAGTCTCGATAGAGTTCAAAAGCGTCTCTGCGCCCTTGTGGGTGACAAATTACTTTCTGCTCTACAATCTCTTCCTCACAGACGAAACGTCGCTGCTCTGTCGCTATTTCCATGGAAAATGTTCAGACTAAATATATTCTTTAGTTCCACGAGTTCTTATCTTCACGGCGAAGAACCACCATGCCACGCACATTTGAAGCGAACCACGACCATTCCTTTCGTCTTTCGGATTCCATTAGTGAGATGTAAGTTCAGCTCGAGCAGTTTCTTCCCACGAACCGCTGTTTGTCGAACAGTCTCCCAAGAGGATGCTTCCCCGCTCACTACACCCTTAAACTGTTCAAGTCTAGAGTCAACTGCTATCTACTTACGTTCCATTATCACCGAGCGGACCCTGAATTTTCACCGGTTGCGATGAACGGGTGTTCCCTCAAGGAGGTCCCCTACCTTGAGCGCCTACTGGGCCTTACTCAACCCACACCTTAGGTGGAACTGTAGTCAGTTCCCTGCTGCTCCATCGCTATTTCCATAGAAAGCGCTCAGATGAACTACATTCTTTAGTTCCACGAGACCTTCACGGTGAAGACCCGCCCGGCCACGCATATTTGTAGCGAACAACCATTAATTCTTCCGTCTTTCGGATTCCATTAGTGAGATGTAAGTTCCATTCGAATCTCGAACGCCTGCTCTGTGGAACCGACACCTAAGAGGATGTTTTTTTTCCGATCACTACAATCTTAACATGTTCAAATCTAGGTTGGTTGGTTGACTTTGTTTAGCGGCATATCAACCTCTACAGGTCAACCTCTACAGGTCAACCTCTACAGGTCATTTAATGCCGAAATCTAAATATTTTTTATGTAATTTTATTCTTTCAATTAAATATACAAATATTTTTGCATATAATTTTATACTTTCAGGATAATATTTTTTTTTTTAGGTATATAGTTTGTAGATCATAAAATGTATTGTTGGTAATTTTTACCTGTTCAAGTCGGGTTAACCGTTATTTTCCTCACGTATCCGTACAAAATGTGCCTCTCTAACCCTCTACTTCGAGTAGCTCTCGGGGCTTGTACAAGGCGAACAACATTGTAAAAAAAACAGAAACAAGAAAAAAGATCTTTCGATTGCTAAACGTTCACAAATTTTCGTATTTTTTTTCTTTTGTTATTATCAAATTCGAAGCTATCATTCACTTGATTGCTTTATTAATAATTAATTCCAATTATCAACGAGACTTGTCACCATTATTTCAATGGGTTTTTTTTTCACAGAGAAAATCATCAACTGATTATAATCAACTTTTTTTATGTTTTTTTTTTAAATTTTATTGCTAATGGTTTAGCTTTGGTTTCAAACCCACAAAATAAAAAAAAAAATAAAACGCTAAATAGTAAATTTTCCCAATTTTAGCGGCTTGTCTCGCGAGTTAAATTACGGCTGAGTAGTGAGTTTAATCCTCATTGGGTGCTCCACACTTTCGGACTTGTAGTACATCTAAGCTACACTCGCAAGGGGCACTTCAACGTGGTGTAATAGTTAGCAAGTTTGGGTCGCTTGATCATGATTACGCCTGGGTAGTGAGTTCGATTCTCACTGCTTCCCCCTTACTTTTGCAACTGTGTTTGCAACTAAGGTACCCTTAGTAAATTGCTATAATCATGAAATTGCACAGACTATAATGAAAACAATTCTTTTTGAAGTATTAAACTGTAGAACTAGCAAATATCAACTTGGTATCTTTTTAGAATAGAAAGTTATGAAGTGTCAAATTTGGCACATCGTGCTATTTTGAAATCAGCAAAAAACGACAGCAAATTTCTATAGGTTATAACTTCTGAATTAAGAGCTTAAAATATAAGGGATATGTGTGTGTGTGTGTGTGCCGACACTAATTAGTTTTATGACTTTAGGTTAAAAATATTCTCTGTATTTTTATCACATGACTTTTGACATTTAACCACTGACAGCATATTTTTAAATTACGTTGTAAAATTTGTAAAATTTTATTAAACTCACAAATTTTTATCTACCAACCTTAATGCTGACATAAGAAAGCCGAAATCTCGGATTTTATTACTTTTGTTTTTTTCTTTTCTTTGGACAATTTTTGAGAGAATTCCCTCCTTGTTTGACAAGTATTATTCGTAATCTTGAAAAGACGGCCATTAAAATTAATCGATATAAAATGTCTGTTGTTTTCAATAGTATTTGCCTTATAGAACATTTTGGAATCCGTCTACCCAGGTTTTAGTTGCTATCTGAGTGCCGAGATTCCAAGCATTTGACCAAAACAACACACCATTTAAATGAAACATAAAAAAGGTTATTTTTTGGAGGAACAGTAGAAGTAGAACCTCAATTGAAATAACATTTATATATATATTTTTTCCAGAAATATACAATGACAATAAAATGCTCAGTATCCCATGCAGTGAAGTAGAACTGTAATCAGTTCACTGCTGCTTTATCGCTATTCCCATAAAAAGTTCTCAGACGAACTACATTCTTTAGCTTTGTATTGTATAAAGTAATTAAGTGCTCTTTGTGCGGTGTGAATGTGTGTACAAATTTTATGATGGTCAGCCTAGTGTGTTTATTAGACCAAGGCTTAGTATTCATTTGCTGGTTAATCTCTTCTATTGTGCTCGTGGACAAGGTTTTTAGTCAGCGGCTGTTAATATTCTCTCTTCTGTTGTGTGTGGGGGATGTGCATGTGTGCGCACGCACGTGTAGATAAAACTGATCTCCCAAATTGATTTGAGCCTCGAGAAGTATGCATCTATTTTGAAATCCGTAAGGGGATTCAAAATCTAATTTCACATAGATGTGTGAACTTTTTAATTACAAAGTTTTCATTGGTTTGAAAATAATTTCACAATGGCTCGCGAAAGTATTTTTCTCAAATTTGTGGGCGTGGTGAAAGGAGTTACTATTATTATTTTCTAAATATTCAAAAAATAATACGTGGTAGGTCTGCAACTACGCCCACAAGTATTTTGGCGGTATTTGCCCTTGCAATGATTGTTTATCAAACAAAACTTTCCGATCGGATTTTATTGTTTGAAAAATATATCTTGGTATATAGGATGTAATTCCTATAAACATTTGCTGCCTAAATACACAGAATATTAGGCAGGAATGCTATTGATTTAATCCAAACTTTCTTAACACTTGAAAATAGCAGATTTGTATTCGTGACTGTTTCGAATCGATAAGATTACTAAAATATTAAATGAAATATATGAGAGCGGCGTAATAGATCTCTCTTCATCGAGATGACAAGTTCAAGTGAATTTTGAGATCTCATGGTTTACGAGACTCATGGCGTGATTTGATATTTCGATAAAGACGGTTTACCGTTCAATGTTGCAATGAACAAGTGAAGTAAATTCGAAACTTTCACCCGCGTGAGAACGGCAGCTTTGCTTTGTTTGCATTTGTACCTTATGTAGATTTCCATTTTACTCTCATAAATGCCCCACTTCCATTTTCGCAATAAATGTATGATTCCAATTCATATCACATCTAACGCGTTGTCTATCTATCTATCTATCTATCTATCTATCTATCTATCTATCTATCTATCTATCTATATATATATATATATATATATATATCGGCGTTAAATCTTGCTGATTTTTTAACCGAGAAAATGTGGCGACTTTAAAAAGCCAAAACAAATTGCACATCACTAGTTTCTAATAGATATTTCCTAACATTCTAAATCACCATTTACATGCTGCAGTCGGTGAGAAAAACAGACTGAGGGAGATACAGACAGACTGAGAGAGAGAGAGAAAGAGATAGAGACATTCTGAGAGAGAGAGAGAGAGAGAGAGAGAGAAAAAGAGAGAGATATTGAGAGAGAAAAACTCAGAGAAAGATACAGATTGGGAGAGAAAGACAGACAGAGTGAGAAAAAGAGAGAAAGAGAGAAAGAGAGAGACATGCTGAGAGAGACATACTGAGAAAGAGAGATACAGATTGGAAGAGAAAGAGAGAGAGAAAGACTGAGAGAGAGTGAGAAACAGAGAATACAGACTGGGAGGGAAGGAGGCAGAGAGAAAGACAGAGAGAGTAAGAGAAAGAGAGAAAGAAACGGGTGTGCTCGGTTAGAGTAGACGCGTTCATTTCAAAACAACAGAAACAAATCGGCTTTCGTCGTCTTTATCTCGTATCCAAGAATTTAATTTCTTACTTGCTGATTGCTTCTGTTATGATAATGGTGTTGATGACTATGTTCGCCGCCAACATTCAGGTTCAGCACTAGAAGCTTCCAGTTACACCAAAACCTGTTCCTGCTTTCCATTCCCTATCGCCGTTTGGCTTTGAAAAATTTAGTTGAAGTTGAAATACAGTTATGAAAATGCAAGGGACTATGGTCATAAGTGGGGCGCTTCATCTGAATTCCTCCAGAAGGAAGTGGCAGAAGAGGAGAAGTGGATTTTTTCCCGTCGGTTGTAGTATCTGTTCCGTGCCGGAGGACTTCTCTCCTCCCTTGCGTTGCCACCCGTATCTCATTGCGTAACATCTGTTCCGTAGCGGTGGTATGACCGGCTATGACTAGCCGAGACAAGTTAAGACCAGCTTAGACCAGCGGCCCGAGTGGAAACACTCATGTCCCTACGTTAAAAACCGATCTTGTGTCACAACCTGGCTCAGTGGAGAGTCAAGGTAAATCCCGAACTACCGTTATAATTTCGAGTGGCGCCTTCTGTATCATGTCCATCATGCGTAGCCCTCTTCATCCATTGGTTCAACTGTTGGGATATTTAGGGTTGGTCGCGTTTAGCTTGCGTCCTCGTCTTCAACCTTGCCGCCAATCCACCTTATATAGGTTTTAATCGATTTCATATAAACTTCAAAAGAAAGTGTTAGTGCTGGTAGTATAATGGTCAGCGACACGGAAAGTGGAATTGGCTAGCCGAGTTCAAATCTTTGCCTAGTTCATTGTGTTGACTTTCGGACCGATGCACATAGGAAAGACATGAATCGATCTCGTATCCCCACTCTCATCTATGCGATAAACAGCAGGGTAGATTGGGCACTCCGGTCTAGCCTTGCGTACCAATTCGAAACAATAGAGAAACAAACAAAAAGCCATTTATCTACCGTATATTTCTGCATGTAAGACGACCTTTAGATAAGACGAGCTAAAAAATATAGCAAATTTACATGAATTTATCTTATACATGTAGTATAAAATAACTGCTTAAAGATGATGTTATTGGAAATGTTGTTACTTACTGTATCTTTAGAAATTCAAAATAAACCAAAAACCGATTCTATATCAAGTTTTTCCAACATACGTACCCTATCTCTTACCGTGATCTCTAGCGAATTCTTCTTCTTCTTCTTCTTCTTCTTCTTCTTCTTTTACAGGAAAAGAAAAGGAAGAAGAATAAGTATTTTAAACAATTTAAACAATTACAAACAGCCTGGTGTACTAATGCCCACTTACATCGACGATCGCAAAATAATCCTAAATTGTGTTATTATTTAACATTAAAACGATAATGAGAAATGAATATTATGTTTTTTCACATGTTATTACTGCCGTAATTAACACTACCATGACTATTAGTGAAAGTTTAGCGAAAGATAAAGGTTGCTGTGAACGCAATCATAACTCGATGGTAACATTTTTTCAGTTGAGCTTGCATGGATACAAGTTGGTTTCATTGATATGAAATTATGCTTCAAATAAGCAATTTATTATGAAGTTATGCCAGTAATATATAAGGTAGAAATGCTTTTATTATCGGTTTATTTGATAATGTGAATATTTTCATTTACGTTATTGTTTATTGCACCTGGGCCGAGGTTGGCCAACCGACACACATTACTCAGAATTTAAGGTTTCTTTTTTAGAATTGAAGCATAAGAGGACTCCTAAGTTTTGAGGGTGATTTTGGGGGATTTAAAGGTCGTTTTATACGCGGAAATATACAGTATATTTCCCTTAGAATGTTTGGTAATTCACAGATAATAAAGAAATGATGTATGTGTAGACTAGAGTCATGATCGTCTATGCTCTGAAAGGACATGGCACTTAAGAGAGAAAGAAAATAAAGTAAGAAAAAGAAGAGAAAAAAAAACGGCACGATAATGATTTATTGGAAAAGTTTTGGGGGCGAGATTCTTCCATTAAGACTTAGAAATCCAAATGAATATTTATGAATAAAAAAAGAACGGGGTAGTTTGTTTCTGCTTTGCATGAAAAAGAAACAGGCTGGGAAAGAAGAAGAAAAAAAGCAAAACGGAGAGTTGTCGAGTGAAAGCAACAAATCCTTCCATCAATTGCATTCAGCTCAGTTCGTCAAGTTTGCAAATGTTAGGGTGAATCTGGATTTTTTAAGCATTTCACCCCAAGCAAGGCGGCAGTGCCACTAGCACACAGGGATTTACACAGAGTTAAAATAAAGGAAAAGATGGTGTATAATGGGGATTGAGGAAAGGATAAAAGAAGAACGGGGATCAAGTCAAAAAGAAGATGGCGATTGGCGTTGCATTTAAATTTATGAAGATTGCAGTTATCAGGAAAGCAAGTAAGAGGGAGAGAGTTCTAAAAAAAAAAGAGAAAAGAAACTACTGGGGTAGAAGTGGCGGTTACAATTAACTATTTCGAAAGTAAAAGGGTGGAGACTAGATATTTGTAAAAAAAAAAAAAGACAGAGGGAAGCCACATCACGTCTATGAGAAAGTGACTGAAGTCAAGACACCAAGTCTGGATCGATTACACTGTAGATCCTTCTTTGATCTTGTTGAGAACCCCGAGATGAACAGCAGGGGCACAAGACCAGATATGGTAACAATATTCAATGCATGGACGAATGGTAAGTTTGTAGATGTGTAAGATGGAATCTGACGAGAAAAACCTTTTGGCACGACACAGTGAACCGACTTTCCTTGCAGTAGATGCAGATATTGATTCAATGTAGCTGTTGGAAAACGTGAGGCCAAGAAGGCGCAGTGAGACACTATCAAGGAGTCGAGCATCAACCATGCTGATGGTGGGTGTGGGGGAGGGACGTTTTACTCGTTTTAAGATTCCCTCAATAAATTGTTACTGTGATATAATTGTTTGCTTTTCTGCACATTATTATTATTATTGAATAAAATTGACGTAATTCTTCTAATATTTTTCAACACCTAAGAGCGCGGTTTAAGAAAAGAAAACACAGTGTTTGACAATGTTAAACAATATTTCAACAGTCTGTCGTCTTTAAATTATATTTTACATTTTTTTTAAATATAAAAATGAATAAATCTACAACAAAATTAGAAGTCTTTATACAAACCTTGCTTGTCTTGTAAAGAAAAAAAAATGGCTTTCCTGGTAATTATCGCGTCAAAATTAATGAAACGCCTCCAGCTTGAAGGTATGCAACAGAAACTTGCTTAATAAGATGGCGAGCTTGCTTATCGTGGAATTTTCCGTGAAATGTTACTAAGAAGAATTAAACAAGCAGATTAGTATAAATCTTATGAAACTCTCCAGTCATTCTGTTCCTTCCCCGGGGGCAGGAAGTTAGTAATTTGCATACGTAACTATACTCAGGTGTTTTAAGGGTCGAAAGGTCGGTAGATTTTTTTTTCAGAATGTACACCTTAAGATGCTTGTTCGAAATTACAGTCGTTTGTAATAAAATGTTCTGCAAACGCCATTGGTGTCACGTTGTGTCTGACATCATACCTGTGATATTGAATCTTTTATTTAATTTTTCCACATAAGTCATGTTTGGTACATTGGCGTATATTAAATGGGAATGATCGTGCTCATCTTGAAAATCTCCGTTACTTGATTCGTTAGTAAGGCCAATTAATCATTAATCAAATAGTTTATTATTAATAGTAGTAGTAGTAGTAGGACGACGAGGAGGGAGAGGTGGAGAAGGATGGGAAGAGCTTACGGTCATATCACGTTGAAACATCGGTCCTAGCCTGTTCCCTTAAGTTAAGGAGCGTCTCAAATAAAGTCACAAAATGTAACAGTTCATCCGACAGTTTCGGCCTTTCAATACATCATAAATAATGGCTATTATGTTTCGTGAAAAGACGGAAATGACATAACAGAGCTGCTACTTGGTTTCAGGAAGAAAACGAAAGAAAGAAAGAAAGAAAGAAAGAAAGGAAGAAGGGAAGACGGAAGTGTTTAACATCTCCTGCCAATACCTCATAAATAATGGCTACTCCATTTTGATTGTGTGGAAAGACATATTAAAGACGCTACTTGGTTTCAGAAAGAAAGAAAGAAAAAAAAAGAAAGAAAGAAAGAAGGGAAGACAGAACTGTTTAACGTCTCAGAAAGAAAGAAAAAAGAAAAATAGAAAGAATAGTTCATAAATAATTGCTACTCCATTTTGATTGTATGGAAAGACATATCAAAGACGCTACTTGGTTTCAGAAAGAAAAGAAAGAAAGAAAGAAAGAAAGAAAGAAAGAAGGGAAGACAGAACTGTTTAACGTTTCAGAAAGAAAGAAAAAAGAAAAATAGAAAGAATACCTGATAAATAATGGCTATTTCATTTTGATTGTGTGGAAAGATATATCAAAGACGCTACTTGGTTTCAGAAAGAAAGAAAGAAAAAAAGAAGAAAGAAAGGAATATATATGTGTTTAAAGTTCGTTTCAGTGAAATTTTTGTAGGGACATCCCTACAAAAATAGACTATATAATTAAACGGAATCTTTGTTAAAATCAATTCTTCCAAACTTTCATATGCATAGCCCTATATTGTATCAGGCAAACCATTTGTTTCTTTTGTGTGTGTGTGCCATATCCTTTCAGGATATTGTCGATCACGGTTTTTCGCAATTTTTCTGTTCTTTGTAGCTCTCATTAAATTCTGTCCTTTTGCTATCTCTCCTAAATCCTGTTCTGCCAACAAGCTCCTTTGGGAGGTTATACGCTGCTTTCCTCTGTCCTTCTTGCATTCAGTAGCTGCTATGAGTGTTAATTTTTCCAAGCACTCTTTTCTCATTATGTGCACCAGAAATGTCAACTGTCTCTTCTTGATATCAAGTATAAGTGTCCTTTTTGTTTTCCATTTTCTCTGTGGTATTCTCATCATCCGTCCGTAGAACCTCATTTCTGTTGCTTCAAGTCTCTTCTTCATTATTGAGGAGATTTTCCAACATTCACTCACATATAGGAGAACTGATATCAGTTCAGTACTCTTTTGCTCGTTTCTAATAAAAATTTTCCTGTTTCTTAATACTTTGCTTAGCTTTTGGAAAGCACCTTTCGCTATCCCAATGCACCTTCGGATTTCAGTGTCACGTCCTCTGTTAAAACCATTTGCTTGCACTTTTAAAAATTCGTTTAAGATCGTAAACAACAGAAAAACGATGTCTGCAAAATCCATCAAAGACGACAACTGAATCATTTTGTTATAAGTAAGTCAGCAAGTATACCTACTTACATGCGTTCTTAAAATAAAGCGCCCATGTTGGCGCGTATACGTTCGTGTGAATTTAAGAAGATGACGTTTCGCCACTTGATTGGCTCTTTTGTTGAAATGTGATATCGGCGTGGTTAATTTCCTGTTGACTTTATTCCGCACATCTCGCCCTTTTCCGCTGCTTGCGTTCAGCCAAACCTTCTTCGCTCTTTCGTCGCTTGTAAATTTATGTTCATAGTACTTGCCTTTGTCTTCTCTTTTCGCAGTTTCCTGCAGAACTCACAAACAAATAACCGTATTTAGTGATGGCACATACCCTGAAATCATCGTAAAAAATCCAGGATTTGAATTTAGTAAATACTAAACACTTCAAATACTTCACCGTATGGATCATTTTTTTTTGTTGTTTTTTTTTACAATGTCCACCATTTACAGGGTCCAAGAGCAACTCGAGGTAGAGTAGGAGGCACAACCCCAAGCAAGGAGATAATGCCACCAAGACGCAAGGGGATACCATAAATGAAAATGCATGAAAAATCTTTAGAAGGATCTGGAAAACCAATCCTAAACAGGAAACAATGGATAAAACTCTACTCCTGTTCAAAAGACCGGGATGAATGTGAACCGAACGATAGGCGAACCTCTTCCATCCTATGTATAAGAAATTTAGTAATGGTTCAGGTAATTCTGATTATGATTTAATGTGTAAAAGTTTTTTTGTTTTTTTTTAAAAAGAATTTGAACAAAGAATAAGCTGCGCCAGTGTTAGTTTCGTCCAGCACCGCAAATTGTTATAAAACCAAGCATCCACCTGAAAATTCGAATCATGTTCTTAAATAGACTCGTTAAATCGAAGCTTTCATATGAACGCCATGTCTGGCGCTAAGCCGGTTCAGAAATATCGAAACTATCAGCTGTATACAACCGTTTTCTAAGATCAATGGTTGAAAATGGCTTTGAGTGACTGAAATTTACAGGTCTTGAGGAAGGCCGCACTTCTTCGAACGTTGTGGATTAGCTTTACAGATTCAAGAATAAAGAACTGTACCAGATAATAGAAACCACATCACCTAAATGTGAAGAGATGGGTACTGTTCCTTTAAGCATTCCATACTGCATTCCAAACGAATCTGCCAATAGAAAACCGATGTCAATGTACTCATGATGAGTTGGTGAGTGGGGATGTCTATATCGATGACATAGGCATTTTTAGTTGGGGTAAGAATAATCTTGAACAAAAAATCAACATCCTCTACCAAGTGCTCCAAGAAATATGACTCAACTCAAAATGAACCTTTTCCAAAACAGAAAGTATGATCTAGAATTGGAATTAAAGCAGTGATGGCACCTACCCTGAATCCATCATAAAAATTCAGGATGTGGTATTAGTAAATACTAAACACTTCAGTTACCTTGGTGTATGGATCAGTTATAACAATTCTAATATAGGAAATAAGGAAAATGAACATAAAATAGGCTGTGCTAGAGGAAATTTCTCCCAACACCACAAACTTGTACAAAAGCAAAACCCGTTCTGAAATATCTAAATGGCCAGCTGTATACATCCGCTTTCTGAGATCAATGGTTAAAAATGGAAAATGTCTTTGAGCGAGTGAAGCCTAAGGATCTTGGTAAAGACCACACTTCTTTGAACATTGTGGACTGGCGCTACAGAATCACAAATAAAGAACTGTATCAAATAACAGAAAATACATCACTTGAGGATTTCCAACAGTAGCAACAGCAAAAATGGATAGAATATGTAACTCGAAGAGAAAATAATGATATAACCAAGATGTTGACATTCCATGTTTCTTCAAAAAAAAAAAAAAAAAGGTTCAGAAGTAAACATCCCATCAATACTGGAAAGAGCGATAACAGCTACTGGGCTTGAGAATAGAAAATAATGACATCCCACTCCACTTCAAACAAAAGGTCAGGAAGGAAACTCCCATCAATACTGGAAAGAGCGATAACAGCTACTGGACTTGAGAAACCTATTTTCCTGAAGAGGTTAGGAATGTAGCCTCCATCTATACTGGAAAGAGCGATAACAGCTACTGGACTTGAGAAACCTATTTTCCTGAAAATTGTTTTAAGAGAAAGATTTTATGAATTTCAATCGAAAGCAGTACTGGCTTCTCGTTTAATTAATATCAAATGTTTCCTTGTAGAGAAACGGCTAATATTACCATTACAATTGGCACTTCTCCTTAGAAGCTTTCAGGCAGAACTGCCTGGCATGAATTGCTGAAAAAGACTGTGAAAGAACAAAAAGGTAGCAAATTAGTAATGAACATAGCCAGGTGTTTTTCATTTAATGCGCTTTTGAGACACGCATTTATATTATTATACAAGTACTCGAGAGAATTTAAATAGATTTATTAATCTAGCTTGAATTAGCTGGGACATGATGAAATCAACTGCCACTGCGAACAGGTGGTATAATTCTCCTTAAGCGATCAGATTTTCGATTAATGGGGAGCAAAGGAGAATGCTGATAACATAAAACAGAATTACCAGTAAAACGATTTAAAAATAGGATTTTTTTTATTTTAAATAGTTTTACACATTTTTAATAGTAATTCTGATTATGGTTAAACATATAAAACCTATTTAATTTTATTTTAAATAGCTTTTCACGTTTTTAATTGTAATTTTGCTTATGGCTTAACGTGTAAAATGGTTTAAATGTAGCCTTTTTTTTATTTCAGTTTTATACATTTTAATGGTAATTCTGATTATATCTTAACGTGTAAAACAGTCCACAAGTAGGCTTTATTTATTTTAAATAGTTTTACACATTTTTAATGGTAATTCTGATTATGGCGTAACGGGGTTTCTGCAGCATGTAAGTTTTTAATGAGTGGAGTTCAACTGTTTAAATTTCTCCTAGGCTGGTTGCCAACCAAAGCTCAGTTTGCACTGATACTAATTCTTACCTTAAAGAAGAAGAGATGTATTTCTAACTTTCCAACAAATATTTATTTTTCAACATAATATCCTTATCAATGCATTTAATTTTCTGGTGAATATTTATTGAATAACCCGGGTATTATGTTAAGTCTGTTTTGACGTTGCTGTTGGAATACACAACCATGTCCTCATCGCGCGAGTTATTGCTGCTATGGTTTGCGTAGCCAGAATTTTCTTTTACAGGATGGAGTTGTCAGTCACATACCCAACCAATTTTTGAATTCAAAATTTTCCTTTCCTTGATTGCCTACCAAATTTAGAGATCCTAATCTACTTTGCTGAAGAGATGGATTTATACATTTCCATGTGTACTTGTGTGATAGCAAACATCACCGTCTCGGCCGAAATTTGAATTCGACGCACCAATCTTACTTACTCCACGCTTATAATCGATACGCTAGCCTCGGTGTTAACCCACCTTATTTTAAAAATAACACTATCTTGCTTGAAAGGGTTTATTATTTAGTATTATCCAACTTTTTTAATATTATTTTTATCATTTTCTTTAATGCCATTATCTTTCAACTCTTGACCATTAAGCTGAAGAGGACCATTGCAAAAGACGAGCGATATGTGTATGTGTCAGGTTTATCTACCTTTTACCGAAATGAAATAACAATTGTATTAATTTATATCAATTTTCACTCTGTCCAGATTTTCATTTATTTTTTGTGTCTTTGAACATCTCGCCCCTCCTCGAACCGCTTGCGACGTTTAAATACGCTGTTTCTTCAGAGCAGATTCACCATAAGCCACATTTATAATGTGCCATTGGCACTTTTACTAATCTTCACGCAAAGCCTTATGTTAATCTGCGGCTCCAGATTCCTTCCATTCATTTTCCCGATAACAGTATAACATGAATCCGTACAACTTCTGCTTTTCGGCGACGGTTGACTCGTCTGGTCTGCGTTTCAAAATAAGCGAAAATTGGAAATATTTGCCTGATTCATTGCTCCAGCAACACGCTGCGGTTATGCCTGGAATTAAATTGTCACACTTCGTAAATTTGGACGTCAGAGAGGATCCAGAAAAGAGTAATAAGCGATTTACTCGAACGGAGTTTGACCCACATGCAACGTCACACTTATCTCTCTCTCTCTCTCTCTCTCTCAAACAACCTCCCCCCACACACACGCGCAGACATGAACAGACTTTTCTTCTTTAATGATGATTTCTCGTTTCGACGACTCTTCGTGTTTTTAAATCAAGTTTTCCCAATTTCTTCGAAAAATAAAACGATATTTTTCGATACGTTGTGTTTGAATGTTTATTTTTACTAATTATATATATTCGATTATTTTCGATTATTTAACAATTAAATGGCATGAATCCAACTCTTATCCTCCAGCTATGGGCTGAATAGCAGAACAAACGGTGTCGCCTTGGTTGGCAACCAGTCTACCGTAGAAAGATACGGCAACCTACTGCGGTAAAATCTTCTCAATCATGAAAGAGACATGATTATTCAAGCGTGTATCATGTATGGCACTTAATTGACTGAACAATTAAACAATTGTTTTAATAGTAGCAGCAGCTGCAACAACAACTATAATGATATTTGGTTTTATAAATATTTGACGACTGTTTTGTATTATTTAATAATTATATATTATTTATATTCAATATTTATTACTTTGTATTATTATCATTTAATCAGTTGTAATAATAATTATAATAATTTGACGTCGATCCGTTTACTCTGATGTAATAATAATAATAAAATAGTTAATAAAAAAATTAGTTCATCGCCTCTGTCAGGGAACCATGCGAGCGATTCCATGTGTAGCGATTCCGAGGTTATCACCAGTGTGGAGTTCAACAGAGAGAAAGTCATTACAGCGTGTTCCAACCGGCTTCAGGCTAAATCTACGCATGCCTCTGAACTATTGGTAGTATATGCAGAGGTGTGATGACACGACATCATTGGACGGAAAGCTTTCCCCGACGGTATTACCTATCAAGTTTTCGTGGCTTAGGCGAGTGTAATGCTTTAATGAACATAGTATCAGCAGCAGCCCTTAATGAACATAGTATCAGCAGCAGACCTTAGTCAAAATAGTATCAGCAGCAGCCCCGAGGGTATAAAAACAAGCGAACCATTAAGCAACTCTCTTCTTCCTGTTTTTCCTCCTTTCGAAATCTGTGCAATCGACTTTTGCATGTACCTTTTCATCGCCATTGTTTCATATATTGTAAGATATTCTCGTAAGAAACCTTATGCCTGAATTACAGAAGAAGCCAACACACTAAACGAGCATTCAAATCAGTTTCTTTTGCCGCAGACATGCTACGTGTGGTTGAACATCTACCGAGACATATGGCAGAACGGGTCAGGGGCTCAGCCTCGTAGCGGTCCCATGACCGTGTGCGGACGTAGGGTCGTAGGTCGGGTGTGGACGTGGACATAGGATCGGTACTGATGAGGGTTGCAGCAAAGAAACAATTCTAGCCACAAGTTAAAACGTTATTTTCATCGACCGTATTATAACTCCAGAGGGGGTATTGTTATGAATTCGCAACGTATAAAGCTATGAAGCCCAGGATCAAAAAAAGAAAAAAAAAATAATAATAAAGGTGGGTTCACTCAGATAGGAACACACAAACAGGTACCGACGAACAACAAGCATAACATCAACATTTATAGATGAATTTTATATAACAAAATACAAAATATTGGAAAAGTATGGAGTGGCAGACGTACAATTAATAAAAGAACACTTAACTGATACTGGATGTCAGTTCAAATATTTGTGTTTCTGGAATTTGGAGTTCGAATGTTCGTAATGACAGACAAATAAAGTTGCTGTAGAATGTTTACAAAAGTTTGTTGATCTTTCTTCCGCAATGTGAATTCTGGAATAATGTTTGTTTTCCGTCTCCCCTAAGTTAATTGGATTGAATCCAAGATGAAAATACGATGATTCTTTTCTATCTATTTAGGTACAATATTCATTTATTTTTTACGCATTAAACAGTCAAATACATCCATGATTTCCGGGAGAAAATCTTCGGATTCCCTACACCAAGGGTCGGTAACTCATTCGACCCCGCGGGCCGGATCGTGTTATAATGACGGGTCGAAGGCCGGACGAAGTCCATTAATGAAAAATTAAGGAAAATTACATATGCAAACCCCTATCAACCTAAATATTTAAAACCATAATGAAAATAAACATTGAGAAATCAGGAAAACAAAAAGAAAATCTAAAATTAAAAAACACCTAACAAAAATTACTTTTCCTCAAGGAACGCGAAAATACTTCAAAGTGAAAAAAATCAACCGAAGTGAAGTGGATGAAATTATGACGTGTAGGTTTGAAACTGTTATTGAAAATTGTTCCACAAACGAACCACACACAAAAAAAAAACGAAGCACATATAGCCATACATATGAGTACAAATAGTTGCAAACATACACTTACGTACGTACACATGCGGTATCATCCACACATTCCTGAGGTATGTATGTATAATGCGCATATATTTAACTGTCTTTAGATTTCTGCTACCTCGCATGTCAGTCCCTCCCTGGCCTCTTTCACTTTATCGTTCCTTTCGCTTCTGTTATCTTTTAATGTAGCCAAGGGTCATAACAAATATGTATCCATTATTTGACATTAAACATAGGCAACGCAACTTGGTAAAATAAGCCGCATGAAAGATAACTGGCAGATAGTCTAATTCGAAAGTCTCGTCTCTCATGTTAAAAATAGAGTCATTGGTAATCGGGCTCGCGGGCCGGTCAAAATGCCTTCGCGGGCCGGATCCGGTCCGCAGGCCGTAGGTTGCCGACCCTTGCCCTACACGGTAAGTAATGGAAAAGGCTTGTGAATGTATTTCTCATCACTTACGATCGCACGATGAGAGCCTATTTTTCTCGTGAACTATTGTCGTTGGAGGTCACTGGGAAACAAAAATTACAATACCAAAATCCTACGTAGTTGACTGATTCTTAGGAGGGCATTGTGTTTGTTGTCAAGACCCCCCCCCCCTAAAAAAAACTCCCTTCCTGTTATTTCTTAAGAGGCCATTCTATTTGTAATCAAGTGACTCTAAATTCCTAAATTCCTTTCTTTGCTTTTCTTACTCAGTCTAGATAGGTAGTACCCCACCAAAAAAAAAAAAAAAAAGAAAAGAAAAAAGTGAAACGAGGAGAAAGAGAAACACAGACAGAGCATCTTTTATTAAATTGATTGTATGTCTGATTTAACAGTTAATATTGAGGGCCATGTCACATTATCAAAGAATACTATCGTTTACAGAACATACCTCCCGAGTCTCCTCGACCGGAGGATCCAAAAATATTTCCAGAATTTAGACACGACACTTGAATAGGTACAACGGAATTTAAACAGCAATTAAATAGTGAAACAACTAAAGGCGAATAACAGTATTCGACACAACTGCGTGTTTTCTCTGCTTTAAATATCAGCTCTGAAAACGAAATTAAGCAATTTTCTCTCTAATCAGTCACAGAGAGCTAACTATTAAAACTTTTGAATACTTCAATTAAAATACGTTATTCATTTCGTTCATTTCTGGCTTCGATAGTTTCGTATCGAGAAAATAGTTCGAAAATAATTATTCGAAAACAATTATTTGAAAAACATTTATTCGAATAATAAAATGTTTGAATGAAAATTAATCGAAAGGACAATTATACTAAATGATAATTATTCGAAATACCTATATTAAAAATACGTATGTGGTCATGTTTGAAGGAACCAATGTTGATTTATCTAGACCTAGGATGTCATAGGTTTTTTTTCTTTTTTCTTTTTTTTTTGTAGAAAGTTTCATCCCATCATCTCACAATATGGAAATTCTTAGACGCTATTAAAACAGAACAGGACTTGCAAGAAATTCATATTTCAAAAGTAAGAGCAGATTGCCAAAATATCAAGAGCGCCAAGAAATACCACGACGTAAATGGAAAACGTAAACAATTAGTGGCAACTTTTAACAAGTAATCTTCAGTAGTTGACTATTTTCATATAACTTAAGGTTATAAGGATTTTTCTTACTAAATTGTTTTATTAACGATATTTCTATTTCGAATAATTATCATTTTTGTATTTCATGTTTTAATTTTTACATTTTTATTGCAATAAAGAATTTTGCATTTCGAATAATTAACCTTCCGATTAATTTTCATTAAAGCAATTTACAAATTGAATAAATGTTTTTCGAATAATTTTCGACACGATATCTATCTTCTTGTCTTTAGTGTAATCAGGACCCGCGTGCACCATTTTGCTTATAGTGTAAACCGGATTTGAATCTAACTTTTTTACGTTAGTGAAAATTGGATCTGTGTCTACGTTTTTTTTTATTAATTCAATGTGATTTTTTTGTTTTAAAAGACACAAAATAATCCAACGATAGTTGATATGTCGTTAAATTAAACACCCAACAAAATTTACAAGTTTATCATTTATATAAGTGAAACAAATATTTATGAGAGGGGATGTCACAGTTACTACCCGGAAAAGGAAAATCCATTATCACCTATTAATGAGGAGATCCTGTTGTTTTGGGCTTTTAACAACAACAACAACAACAACATATCGTCATTAAGTCACTTTCGTTCAAAACAACGTGCTAAAAACACACCAGTTTTTGATTAACATATATGTGAAAATTTTATATATAAGTATGGACACAGATATAAAAAAAAGCCAGGGCGTCTATTCAAACACGTTTATCTGCTAAAATACAGCGTTTTTATATATATATATATATATATATATATATATATATATATATATATATATAATGATATATAAATCTTTTATTATATCAAGAACAAATGTAGGAGAAAGAATTGTTTCATTCTTCAGGACTTCATCGAAATATGTTTATATTTACGTTGCTGCTTCTACGCATGCGCACGATGGGAAGGAGGCGCTAAAAACTTTAAATTTAATTTTTATTTAATTTTTTAATTCCATATATGCTTTGGGTATATAATCTCGCCGATTTCCTTTAGAATCCTTTTGTTTAATCGCAAGATCATCGAGAGTAAATTTGCGCCCAGGTTCCTACAGACGTTTTACCATTCAGAATGCCGGATATTTGATAACAAAAATAATGGGAACATGAACAGAAAAAAATATTTCTAAAAATGAAATCGGCCAGATTATATATCTAAAACATATATTAAAATAAAATATATATGCATATATATAAAAACATTCAAAATTTAAAATTATCAACGTCCCCTCTCCTCTCTGTAGTTCTATCAACGTAAAGATAAAATTTAGTCCGATGAAGTTCCAAAGGACCAAACGCGTCACACGAAAATTTTTTACGGTGTTTACTCATTCCCCCCACAAGAATGAGATGTGACCCAAGGTCGTTTTAATGTGGGGACCCGAGCGCGTGCACTCGGGCAAGGGACACGAAAACTTTTTACACTATCATACTTCTTCGCCTCATATATATGTGTGTGTGTGTGTGTGTGTGTGTGTGTGTGTGTGTGTGTGTGTGTGTGTGTGTGATGAACCAATCAGAAGTTAGAAACACGGATTACGCAACATGTTTCTGCATATTTGCGTTCGGGTAGTCATAGCCGTATTAAAAAAAAAACCCTATTCAAGCAGTTCACGCCTCGTCGGTTGGGCAGCATTTGTTTGATAATCCCGATTGTACCACCGTGTATGAGGAGGACACATTCTTTTCCATTCTAGATGGTGCTCGCTCGGTATCCTCAAGGTTTTGTTAACCAAATTCTAGCAGTCGAGCCTATGCAAACAAAAGGTGTATTTTATACGTTCATTAACGGTTGACTGAAGGTCAAAATTTTCCTGTTTCCCTGCGAGAACAACAACCAAGTTACCATCATGCAAATTTAGAAATGACTGCTACACACCGAAAATCAAAAGGGCTTAAGTAAATGGATGACGGAACAGGGTTTGAGAAGGGTAGCAAAAGGACAAGACATATTGAGAGCTACAATGGATAGGGGAAAGTGTAGAGCCATGATTGCCTACGTCCTGAAGGGACACGGCACATAAAAGAAAAGTCTAGAAAAATCATTATTCTTCTAAAAAAATTTGTTAATGCAATATTCAGTTGCAAATAAAATAAAAAAAATAATAAAAATAATCTTACAAGCCAAGATATGTTTCGTCTTTAAATATCCGATAAGCTGTAAAAATAAATAAATAAATAAATAAATAAAAATAAATCCATCAATCAATCAACATTGCACAAAGGTAGCATTTTCTTTCAATATATGGCAGTAACCTTCAGCATTGCTGAATCCGTCAGCGAAAACCAGCTCACCGGTGCCATGGGAAGAAAAACGACTTTCGACCTTTTCAACCACTATGTTTAATTACTGATAGCGAAAACTTTTCCTTGTACGATTCGTCACGACAAAAGCTAACCAAATACGTTGTATG